TCCTTTCTCTCTCTCTGTCTCTCTCCTTTCTCTCTTTCTTTCTCTCTCTCCTTTCTCTCTCTCCTGTCTCTCTGTGTGTGTGTGTCTCTCTCTCTCCCTCCCTCTCTCTCTCTCTCTCTCTCTCTCTCACTACTGCTGCTGTTTGTTTTGTTTTCATTCAATGCTTCCCAGCTGCGTTTATTTTGGTAAATTCTGGTTTCAATGTTCCCCTATTAATTCTAACTACTCTTCTACGATCCCTATATACACCGAATGCTTTTTTGCTGGACTAGAAATGCCACACACACACACACGCGCGCGCGCGCAGGTTCTTATGAATTTGTTATTCTTTTCAAATAACTTTTTGAGTATATGTACAACCAACTGTAGTTTCATCAGTGGCCTCAAACTTTTTTATATTATCTTGTGCATATTACCAGTCAATGAGAACAGTTTGTTATAACCATGTTGATATGGTGTAGCGGGGAGCCACTAGGGTGTAGCGGGGAACCACTAGGGTGTAGCGGGGAGCCAATAGGTTGTAGTGGGGAGCCAATAGGGTGTAGCGGCTTGCCACTAGGGTGTAGCGGGGAGCCAATAGGGTGTAGCGGGGAGCCACTAGGTTGTAGCGGGGAGCCACTAGGGTGTAGCGGGGAACCACTAGGGTGTAGCGGGGAGCCACTAGGGTGTAGCGGGGAACCACTAGGGTGTAGTGTAGCGGGGAACCACTAGGGTGTAGCGGGGAGCAACTAGGGTGTAGCGGGGTGCCAATAGGGTGTAGCGGGGAGCCACTAGGTTGTAGCGGGGAGCCAATAGGGTGTAGCGGGGAGCCACTAGGGTGTAGCGGGGAACCACTAGGTTGTAGCGGGGAACCACTAGGGTGTAGCGGGGAACCACTAGGGTGTAGCGGGGAACCACTAGGGTGTAGCGGGGAACCACTAGGGTGTAGCGGGGAGCCAATAGGTTGTAGCGGGGAGCCAATAGGTTGTAGCGGGGAGCCAATAGGTTGTAGCGGGGAGCCAATAGGTTGTAGCGGGGAGCCACTAGGGTGTAGCGGGGAGCCACTAGGGTGTAGCGGGGAGCCACTAGGGTGTAGCGGGGAACCACTAGGGTGTAGCGGGGAACCACTAGGGTGTAGCGGGGAACCACTAGGTTGTAGCGGGGAACCACTAGGGTGTAGCGGGGAACCACTAGGGTGTAGCGGGGAGCCACTAGGGTGTAGCGGGGAGCCACTAGGGTGTAGCGGGGAGCCACTAGCGTGTAGCAGTGAGCCACTAGGTTGTAGCAGGGAGCCACTAGGGTGTAGCAGGGAGCCACTAGGGTGTAACGGGGAATCACTAGGGTGTAGCGGGGAGCCAATAGGTTGTAGCGGGGAGCCAATAGGTTGTAGCGGGGAGCCAATAGGTTGTAGCGGGGAGCCACTAGGGTGTAGCGGGGAGCCACTAGCGTGTAGCGGGGAGCCACTAGCGTGTAGCAGGGAGCCACTAGCGTGTAGCAGGGAGCCACTAGGGTGTAGCAGGGAGCCACTAGGGTGTAGCGGGGAACCACTAGGGTGTAGCGGGGAGCCAATAGGTTGTAGCGGGGAGCCAATAGGTTGTAGCGGGGAGCCAATAGGGTGTAGCGGGGAGCCACTAGGGTGTAGCGGGGAGCCACTAGGGTGTAGCGGGGAGCCACTAGGGTGTAGCGGGGAACCACTAGGGTGTAGCGGGGAACCACTAGGGTGTAGCAGTGAGCCACTAGGGTGTAGCAGGGAGCCACTAGGGTGTAGCAGGGAGCCACTAGGGTGTAGCAGGGAGCCACTAGGGTGTAACAGTGAGCCACTAGGGTGTAGCAGTGAGCCACTAGGGTGTAGCGGGGAGCCACTAGGTTGTAGCGGGGAGACACTAGGGTGTAGCGGGGAGCCACTAGGTTGTAGCGGGGAGCCACTAGGTTGTAGCGGGGAGCCACTAGGGTGTAGCGGGGAGCCACTAGGGTGTAGCGGGGAGCCACTAGGGTGTAGCGGGGAGCCACTAGGTTGTAGCGGGGAGCCACTAGGGTGTAGCGGGGAGCCACTAGGTTGTAGCGGGGAGCCACTAGGGTGTAGCGGGGAGCCAATAGGTTGTAGCTGGGAGCCAATAGGGTGTAGCGGCTAGACGCTGGCCTGCGAATCGGAAGGTCGTGGGTTCGGGTCCTGATGGAGTCAGCTTTTCTTTCCTTCCAAAAATTGACCCTGGCTGCCATTTTGACCCAACCTTGAGCTATTTAGATTGCCTCCCTAAACTTCTACACACAAGGTAGCTGAACAAGTATAGTCCTGGAAACTAGGGCTGTACAGAATAGTGATAGAGCCATATAACACGACTGTTCTTATCAACGTTTTATATATTTTGATCTTGGTGTTGCGAGACAGACACTTTAATAAACCTGTAATAAGGCCTCAACTCTTTTATTTCTGCTTCAAGTTTCAGAGCCATATAAAACGACTGGTCCTATCAACGTTTTATATATTTTGATCTTGGTGTTGCGAGACAGACACTTTGACTTTAGCAGATGTTGAAGGGCATAGTATACTTTATATCTAGATAAGATTGTATTTTAGATTGTATTTCTTCTCTCAGCATGTTGGAACAGTTGAAGTTTGCACCCAATTACTTATATGTTTCCGTTCGTTTGATTTTCATATTATCGACGTGTATGTGGCCTGAGTTTATATTCTTTCCATGTCTAGTTAGTATTCGTACAGAATAGTAAACATTTAAAAGCATTTTATGTTTTTCATCCTTCAGTCAGTCTGTGGTAACTAATAACTAGGAATGAAAGAATCCTAAGTATTATAACAAGTAACTAAACTTGGAAATTGTCACTGACAGCTTAGTTAATGCAGGAAAGATGCATTAGCTTTCAACAAAACCAATCGTTCCATGTTGTCAGGATTAAGCTGTGTATGCCGAAGCGGGTGAAAGGTAACTTCTATTCGTATTCGGCCCGACCACAACTATTCGGCCGAATACCGAATAGTCAATAGGTCCACTTTTCGGCCCTGAAGCGAATATTCGGTACAGCCCTACTTTCTATAGCATTTCAGCTCAAAAGCCCCTATTCTCTTTCTTAAGGACTGGGAGATAGTCCTTGACTCACATCCGTATGTAGCCACAGGAAAGATGCATGCTCCTCGCTGGAGCTCCCCATAAAATACTTTCTTCAAGAGGCAGTAGTCAGGCATGCGAATTAGGTCACGCCATTGATAATTGTTCACTATCGTGTGGATGCTAGACAGGTTTGACCTATCAAGAACCCCAGTATTTGAGATCTATAATGTCCGGAGCTTTTAATGCTTCTAAGACGCAAAAAAGGGGGTAGGGGTGTGATGCACACAAATCGTTTAGTGCCTGGGGCATGGCGCGGTGATTTCAGTCACAGGCGTGAGCTAAAGTTAAGTCCAACGTGATGTGTATAAGGAGATACTCCGTACGTCACTCGGGCGCCAGTCCCGCTCTGTTCTGGTTTTACGGAACCTCACGCAAGACTCCTGCAGCACGTCCTCGTCGTGCGCCACGGATAATGTCTCAAATTATTAGCATTATTAGAGGTAAAGTTAAGTCCAACGTGATGTGTATAAGGAGATACTCCGTACGTCACTCGGGCGCCACGGATAATGTCTCAAATGAGCATTATTAGGGCTGTCATGGGATCTCGAGTTTGGCGGCCCCCAGATGTGTAATGTCCTTGTGGCTCACATCAGCCCGCCCCCAAACGCATTGGTGAAAAAGCTTATTAAACTCATTAGAAACATGAGAAAAGTGCTTGCTAAATGTACAACTTAAATGACAACCCTCGGTTAAAAGTGTGTGGGGTGAAGAGAACTTTGTACTGCTGAGACTAAACCCTTGATTTACCCTCAGCACAGACGAGTAACATCTCCTGTGGGTGGCGCCTCGCAGCAAGATTCTACCCATGTACATCCCCTGTCAACCCTCAGTGTCGTCGCTACCGCGCTTAGGTACACCATGACAGCAACCATCCATCAGCTGGTTAGGCCCAAATGTCCGACAAAAATAGATCCTACGACACACGAGCAAACTCAAAATCGGACCATCATAAATTTGATTAGGAAAAGTCCAAATGTCCACATCCCGAGATCCCACTCGCCCGAATGTTGGGACCAAACAGATAAAGACATGCCTGACTCAGGATTCTCCATTCTTTCGTGCTAACAGTGCATTAAAGATGACAGTCGTGCAATGAAAAAGATTCTACCTATTCGTGTGGTCACAAAAGTCCAGAAACCACGGGCTGATCCCCGCTGATCTCCGGAGGGCGCAGCCCGTGTCGAGCAGGAAGCCTAATACAGTTGTGAGGATAAGCAGAGACCGGGGAAAATGACTAGAAGTAAACGTGAAAAATTCCAGCCTTCACCAGGGAATGAACCCGGGACCTCCAGCACTGGAGGTAGAATCTTCCAGACAACTCAGCCCCCACCTAAGGGTCTTCTTACTCCTTGGATCACCATCATCATGTAGCAGGTCCTTTGGAGAACGGCGCTCCCAATTCAGCTTGCCTGAGAAAAAAAAAAAAAAAAAAACGTCCGTCTTTTGGCAGCTAGCCCATCTCACACACTTTCCTGCTCAATGTGTCTATTTTGTAACACCTGGATAATCCCACAATTAAGGCCGTTTAATAGACCTAAGCCCATGATGCAACATAATTGCTGATTCTGCTCACTGCCAATACAAAATATTCAACGTGAACACACAAAACAATACACAAATACTTTATCACACTTGAATATTAATATTTGCCACATGTTTATTACCTAAAATTGTCAATAAATGTGGTATTTATGCATGTTTTTAATTATCTTAACAATAAATAAATAATTAACAATCAATAATTGTAAACACAGTCTCGCGTGAATTCCGGTTATGTTTTCATGAACAGCTGTAAACATTGAATAAATGATGGCGAACGTCGTCTGGTGTTCGTTGCTCCCTTGTCTACGGTTGCTCTTCTTGCTATGTCCTGTTGTGTTCTGTTTCATGGACATGGAGGAGCTGAAGTCTGTCTATTATGGCTTGGATATATTGAGTGAGCCAGTAGTCAGTAGTCAGGTAATAAATATAATATCTACCTGGATTGAATTGATTATTTTTTCTCATGGATGATCATGATGGTTCTAGGTTCTTTTTGATTTTCTTCTTTGCGTTCTGTAATGACAGTAATAATGTAAACTCTCAGCTCTGGTGGAAAGTTCTGGTTGTTAATCCACGTCTGGACTGCAGCCCTGTTCCAGAACCTAAGTGTCGTGTGTGCATGCTTTTGACAGATCTGACACATTTGTGTGCAGACTGTTGGTTCCTTGCCTCAGGCAGATGCACGACTTCGAAGGAAGCTCCCAATAGTCGACCCTTATGACATGATTTTGGGTTAGCAGTATGTCGGCTTTCCTCCTAATAACGCTCCCAAATTATCGAGGCCGAAAATATACCTTAACAGGGCCTCAGTCACATGTAAATTGCACACTTCCGGCAACTTAAATTGCGCTTCTCTGGCGATTCCGCCACCGCCGAGAGTATCCCCCACGCCGCTCACGATTGGGACTAAACTAGATGGCTGGAACTCAGGAGCAGCAGCTACCGCATTTCCTGCAGTTTTTTTTATTTTTTGTTGTTGCTTGTGAGTTCCAGCCATCTAGTTTAGCGCTAATCCACGCTGTGTGAGCGGCGTGGGGTATACTCTCAGCTGTGGCGGTATAGTCTCTGGAAGTTCATAATTGACACCTGACTGAGGCCTTTTTAGGGCATATTTTTAGCCTCGACAATTTGGGACCGTTATTCAGAGGATATCCCAGTGGGTCTATTCTTGTTTTCCCTATAATATGGCACCGGAACCCACACGGGGGCTTTCTCCTGATTAACTTTTAACTTAAATTTGTAATTAATAATATAAATATAATTCTTGGCTTTGCTGACTTTGCATCAGATTGAATGATAAGATTGATTCGTCTGAGAGGCGATACCAGTTGTTATACATTATACAGTTATTGTTGCATTATTTATTGTTTGACCTTATTTTTAATAGGGGACTTGAAACTCTATGCAGCTTGTCCAGCTAGGGCCTCTCTAGATTTAAATAGCTTCCTAAGTTCTACTACTGCCAGTACTAGAGATGCTAGGGACTGGGTTTTTACTTATATGAAACTATGAGGAGCGGTTACAAAGTCGGGGCTCTTATAGGGAGACCAGAGTTCGACCCTCGGTAAACTGATAGAGTTTTTCTGTCGGGGGCAAAATTAAACATGGTAACCTGCACGGTCCATGGCGAGAGCACCAGTCAGGCGGCCCTAAATCCTCAGATTCAAGGCCCCTCTGTCTGTACCGCTCTAAAACTTAGCAAAATAGACAGTAGTGAGACTGTCACAGCTGGATAGAGAATAAAATATCCAATCCGATGATACCGCAAACAAATGAGAAATGAGCAGGCAGATAGACTGGCTGGTTCTGCACCGCTTGGTGGTGAACTGATGTATGACAAGCTGAATGTTGTGAAGGCTCTCTGGGAGCGATTGAACACTGCCGAGGCATGAATAAATTATTACGGTCTGGAGAGAATGGCGCTGTGTGGCGTTTCAAGGGGATCTGGCTGGTGCTCAACACTCAGGGGAAAGTGCGAGGCAGATATACAATCAGTCAGTTACTGGTGCCATCGGAATTGGAACTCTTCACTTGCTGCTGAAAATGGGGATGGAATGCTTATGGGGGTGTCCTGAGTGCTGTTGTGTCAATTCTTAATTAAACATTCATTATTCTCCTTTTTCTACTTCTCCTCCTCCTTTATCTTCATCGTCATTGCCGTCTCAAGGTTTCTAATAGGTATTGGGGGGGGGGGGGAGACTTGGTATATGCTACATAGATGCTGGTATTTATGGCCTCAGATATTCCACCTATACATTGATTGCATGGTGGACCATATGTCTCGGTGACAGGGCTGTCGGTTATCTTTTGAATAACGGTCCCAAATTATCGAGGCAGAAAATATACCCTAGCAGGGCCTCAGTCACGTGTCAGTTGCGCACTTCCGGGGACTATACCGCCACCGCCGAATTGCGAACTTACGGGGACTATACCTCTACCGCCGAGAGTATCCCCCACGCCGCTCATGCGGCGTGGATTTGGGCTAAACTTGATGGCTGGGTCATACGAGCAAATACAATAAAGGCAGCTGCAGGAAATGCGGTAGCTGCTGCTCGTGAGTCCCAGCCATCTAGTTTAGCCCCCATCCACGCCGCGTGGGGGATACTCTCGGCGGTGGCGGAAGTGCGCAATTTAAGTCGCCGGAAGTGCGCAAATGACACATGACTGAGGCCCTGTTAGGTTATATTTTCTGCCTCGATAATTTGGGACCGTTATTTGGAAGATAGCCGGGCTGTCAGTAGTGCACTATCTGGTGGTAGTCTTGATACATGTTCAAACCATTTGTTCTGTTTTCTCTTGATGTAGCTTAGTACTGGTTCCATCCCAGCTTCTTTTGATTCTGTCCCTTCTGGTTACATTTAGGATTCACTGTAGGCATTTTATTTCTGTTGTGTTTTTCCAATCACATAGGACATACCTGTAGGAGCTGTTCATGTTACATCCAAGTATGGACAGCAGTATCAGTGCACATTCCCAAACCTCAGTCTGGATGAGAAGAGGAAGGAAGAGGAGGAGAAACTGGCGATTGAGACTGGTATTGTTGAGATGCTGAAACCTATGGGACTCAATGATTGTCTCTTCAAGGTAAGTTCACTTGTCTCTCACATAGATTGGTGTCCTTATATAGGACCTCAATCTACACATTAAATACTATAAAACTATTTTAATGACATTCAAATGTCAGAAAATGCAATGGTACGAATATGCAGCAAGATCTACTGACCTCTCAGTAGCAATACTATATGGCTCTGAGGGGGAGGGGGGGGGGGTAAAATAAGGAGAGGCAGACCAACAAAACCTGGATGCAGCATTTGGCTGAAATGACAGGCCTTAAACAAGCAAGCGTCAAGACTGTTGTATCTGAATGACAGACATGGAGGAGCTGATCAGACAGTCAACAGCAGCTGGTGACCCAGTAGTGTGCAGTCTCATAGGATGTGGCACATGGCCACAGTCAACCTAGAAATAGACTTGACGTCTTCCTCCGAAGTCGGAGTACATCTGCCGGAGAGGCGGGGAACGAGTACTGCAAACAAATAAGCCAGTAAAGCGGATGTACACGCAAAACTCAGGTCAAGGTAAAAGCCAAAAGTCCATTTTGGACGAACAACCGTGACTTACCGCCGGAATTCACAGCCGGTGAACAAGAAGAAGAAGAAGAAGAAATAGGATGTGGCACAGTGATTTTGGTCACAGGTGTGAGGGAAAGTTAAGACCACTGTGATATGTGAAAGGAGTAATCCGTACCTCACCTTAGCTACTAGCATGCCCGGTGCTAGTTTTTTTAAAATCCTAATGCAAGACTGCTGTCACACGTCCCTGTCTTATGCTATGGATAAATGCTTATATTGGCAGGGGATCTTGAATCAAAGTTTAACGAATGAGACATGACAATTCCCACGCATGTGATGTGAATATTTATACAGATGGCTTTGTGTTGAGAGGTAGACGAAGTGCATAGGGCTTCATGGCAAAAGTGAATGGACCTTGCTTAGTGCAACAAAGCCTGGCATATGTTATCACAACGTCTAGTTTGAGAATGGAGGTAAAGGCAGTCACTGCTGCCTTCTACTGGATTGATAGTTAGCTGTACACACATGTCCTAATTGTAACTGACTGACAGAGTATGCTGAAACAGCCATGCTCCGTGCAGAGTGGCAAACATTGCTTCAGAAGTCCTGGGTAGTTAGCGTCCTTTGGATATTTTCTCCTGGTCCTGCTTATGTATTGGGAAACGAGCAGACAGGCGGTTCTGCACCACTTGGTGAAATGATGTATGACAAACTAGATATTGTGAAGGCCCTTTGAAAGCGAGTGAACAGTGCAGAGGCACAAACAGATCATTACGGTCTGAGTTGAATGGCACTGCGGGGAGTTAACACGGAATCTGGCCGATGCTCAGCACTCGAGGGAAAGGCAAGACAGATGTACAGTCAACAAATTATTGGTACTATAGGAATTAGAACTCTTCTGCTGAAGATGGGGGACAGAGTGCTTATGGGAGTGTCCTGAGTGCTATGGTGTCAATTCTTAAATCAACATTGATAATCCCTAAACAGTCAGCAATGAGTAGAAGGCTCAGAATGTGTGATTAAGCGGTCATGTGCAGGACATGATAATTCCTTTGGTGAACCCAATACTAGACTGCCATCTATAGGCTCTGCAGTATTCAAGACTCTGAACATGGTATTCTTCTTTTTAAATAAAATAAACTGATCCTATAATTAATTTTGCTAATATTTGGGGATAAGGTAGCACAGAGGTCATGATGTCCACTTCTCATGTAGACCTGGTTTGATTCGTGGCTTGGTCAATATAGATAAAAAAAAAAAAAAAACAATGATACACTTCCCCTTGGGGTAATGGATCAGACATGTAGCCTTCTCAGTCAAGGATACAGTTATTCAGAGGTTCTGTGAACAAGCACCACATGCTGAAAATCCTGTGGCAGTTGGAAATCAAAAAGTGCTGGCTTAAATAGGCTACTGCCCAGGCTAAATTACATAACATTCATACGGTTTATGACAATATGAACTTGTCACATTGACTCTTTTCTGCTCTTGTTATTATTTCTTATATTTCCAGTCAAAAGATTGGTGGAGCTACGAGTTCTGCTATGGAAAATACATTAGACAGTTTCATATGGAAGGTAAACTTATCTATGTTATAGATAAACATTTTAAGGAAGACAATAATCAAGGTAGCTTATTCTGAAGAGACCTGGCTTTATCGTGCAAGATTACATTCGGACTCCCGTTGAGAACAGATCATTTTCTTTCCGGATCCAGCTTCATTAAATAAGCATGAGAGATTTCTCAGGAATAGGTTGATTTAAGTTGAGCTAAAAACTGACATGATCACACTCTGAACATTCCCATAAGCGCACCATCCTCATTTTTGGCAGCCATCCTAGATTGGAATAGAAAGGCAACCTAATACTGATTTTTATTCCTTTCTTTATCCCTGTGGAATGGAGGAGAGGGGTGAGGTTACAAATACCACTCCCCCTCCTCCACACTCAAACAAGTGTTTAACAAAACATGCCTGTATTTACCACTTTTAGACTTTTGTGTGTGAGGTGAGCCTGAGGACTTAAGGCCACATGGCTACTGCATTTGCCACAACCTGTGCAGTCTAGGATTTCTACTTCTATCTCTCACGGGAAAAACACCTCCATCCCCAGCTTAGAATCCAAAACCACCTTCTCCCGCATGAGAGCCCAGTGCTATAACCACTCAGCCAGCCGCTCCTGCTCTTTCTCCCTTTCTGCCAAGCATGTTGTTAACAGGTGACTTATTCACCAGAAGCGGATGAACAAACATAACTTTCTGCCAAGCATTTGTTAACAGGTGACTTATTCACCAGAAGCGGATGAACAACCAGAACTTTCTGCCAGTTTACAGCTAGTGAATGTGTAGATAAAGAAGAAGCGGTTTTCTTAAAACAGATATTGGGTCAAAAGGTGCAGATATGATAGCCTAGCTGTAAACCACAACACAACATACCTGCTACCCTTTTAAGAGTGAGCACAGAAAAAAGAAAAAGTTTCTTTTCTTATTACATTTTTTGTGTTGGTATTTCTGTTTCTTTCACGTTTTGTAATGCTAGGGGTGTTGGGTTTGATCCCAGCTGCTGTTCATTCGGCAGGAGACCATCTTGCATTGGTTTCGACAGCGATATAGAGAGCCGACCATTCAGTTCAAATGGCAATCTACTGAACGTAAATTTGCCTAGAAAAACCACAACAGCCAAAAAATGTTGGTGTTGGTTTAACGTCCTGTAAAGGACACACAGCTGACTAACTAAATTCTGTTTTTGAATTAGGTTGTATCTTTTTTCCCACTCATTAAGCTTCATGGTTTTCCTCAAGTATTTTTTATTGTGTTCAGTTAGTTTTTGGGATCAGTGAGACTGTCTGTAGTCACTTGTATTTTTGATGCTTCTTCTACTTCAGCATTCTAAGCCCTTGAGGCTCATTGCTGCAGATATCACCCGCCTCCATTTGTCTTTCTGGTCTTTCCAATTTATGACACTAAGTGTTTGTAGGTTGGTCTGGACATTATCTCTCCAACATCTTCTTGGTCTGCCTTGTTGTCTGCGACCACGGGACAGAAAATCCTCTGATTATTTTATAATATCCAGGCAAAAATTAATTTTCAAATAATTTCTTCCAGCACAAGTCAAAATTTGGGTCACTGGTTTGGGAAAAAGGGGGAGGGGGGACGGGCAAGGGTCATTTAGCAGTTTTGAAATTAAATGATGAAGTGCATTTGTACTTGTAATAATCTGTTTATACTAACATTGTTTTCAGTTAAATTATAAATAAAATATTTGTAAAAACGATTTATCACACAAAATAAAACCAGTGGTGTTTTGGGTTTTATAAGCAGTTTGTACATCTACCTTTAAAATTTGTTGTCATCAAGACAAAACATTGTCAACCATCACATTGACATTTGGGCACAAAATTACCAGTTATTGGTGATTGTTTTTTTCTTTTTTGACACTTTGTTTTATGTGGATGTTTTTTTCTACAAGTTCATATTAATAGAGCAAGGAATTTTTTGAATTGTCTTTTCATTTTATTTAGTCAATTTAAAAAAAAGTTGAGGTGTTTATATGTGTTTGAGCACTTGCACACGTACACGCCATACATTCAAAAGGTGGAAAACCATGGTTTTAGGTGCTTACCAACAGAATAATTACACTACAAATTGGTTTGGTGTATCAAAATGTAACACAGTTCATTTATATCATGATATAGTTCATTTTCATTTTTCTTTCTGGAGCAGACGGGGAGATCAAAGGAAATATAATTTACTTGGGTTACTTTCTCGAGGACTTTGACTGGACCAATGAAACTGCCAGGGTGAGAATTGCGTTGTTTGTTTCCTGCACAACATTGAACTATATCAAGTTTTTGTGTCTGTCTCAGGCACCAATGCTATTATGATCATTACTCATCGTCATTATCAGTCTTTCAACATGTGGGTTCTGGGGGCCCATTGTGGGGAATAGACTGGCTGCCTCCAGACAAGCATGTCATAGGAGTTGACTAATTGGAGGCAGCCATTGAAGTATATCTGCCTGAGAGGCAAGGAACCAAGAAATGAAAACATGTAAAAGGCGACTAAAAAGTTTTTACTTCAAAGTTGTGGTGCATCTGCCTGAGATATGAGAAGCTCACAGTCTGCACACAGATAAGCCAGATCTGTAAAACGGATGTGCACACTAAACCCAAGTTCTTGATCGAGAACAAAGTGCAGAAGTGGACGAACAACCATAATTTTCTGCCTAGGTTTGCAGCCGGTGAAGGCAAAGAAGAAGAAGAAGAGGACATTTCATACTATCAGACAATGTTGCCGCATGAGGACACATCTAGACAACATTCATCTAAGAGGTGATTTCTGGTGGCTGACTTTTATAAATGAGCAGTTCATAACAAACAATTAGCAGTTGTTGAAACAGAAAATATTGATAGAACTGTAGTCGGTGATTAATATTACTGTAAAATTGCCGTAAATTGAGCTTAATAGTTATTTGTGTATTTACACACACACTTATAGTAAAGGAGTAAAGGACCCTTTTCACGCCTTTAGGCATATAGGGCTAGACCTAGATTTTTAAAGACCAATCGGCACAAGATGAGTGATGTGGTCATCATCACGCCGGCAGCCTATACTTCCTAGGACTGCACCCAGTACCCACTCAAGGCTGGGTCGACCTAGGAGCCATGGTCATTTTTTAAAATAGTCCGTCTCCGCCAGGGAGCGAACCCACGACCTTCCTGATCTGCGGCGAGCATCCAGCCGCTCTACCATGGCAACTCCCACACACACTTATGCTCACATGTATTTGTAGTAACATAAACACAGACATAAACCTTTACCAACATAATGTGCATACACACCAGCATATTTTGTTTTGCTCATATAGGAAGACAGGGTAAAGAGTAAATCTGCATTGAACCGCTACCATTCTCAGTACTACACCTTGGGCACTAAATGTGACTTGACCGATCATATGAGGAGGGCAGAGGTCAGGGTAGGTAGTGACCAACAGTAACATTATTCAGCCTTCTCTTGGAACTGCTTCTGTCCACAGTAACCAAGGCTACTATATTTCCTTGGTTTTTGTTGCTTATAACGTTTTTATACATTTTGAAATGGCGTTCGCCTCGAATGCTGGATTCCTGGGTTCAGGCCTCAGGGAAGGCTGGGATTTTTTTTTTTGCATGTGGACTTCTAGTCTTCTTCTTGACGTTCACCAGCTGTACACTCTGGCGGAAAGTTCTGGTTGTTCGTCCACTCCTGGACTTCAGTCCTGCTCCAATACCTGAGTGTTGTGTCTGCATCAGTTTTACAGATCTGATTCACTTAAATGCAGACTGTTGGTTACTTGCCTCTCAGGCAGATGCACTCCGAATTCGAAGGAAGCTCCCAATTAGTCGACTCTTATGACATGCTTTGGGTAGGCAGTGGGTCCATTCTTGTTTTCCCCCCAATGGGGCCCCAGAACCCACACCGGGAGGACTTCTAGTAATTTCCCCTGGTCTCTGGGTAGTGAGACGCCCGTGTATATTGTTGTGCATGTAAAAATCCCTTGGCAGTTGGAAATAAAAAAGAGTAGCCTAACGGCCATGCTGGGGCAAAAATTTTGAGTTAAAAATCTACCCAAAGTATTTCAGGATCCTCGCTGGTTCTGCGGAGTTCGTGCACTGCGCTGAGAATCTTCGGACTCAGGCTTGAGTCAGAAGGGGAACGGAGCACTTATGGGTTACCCCCTGTGTCATGTTGTCGATCCGTCATCTAAGCCTGAACCTAAACCTATACACATTTTGAAGAGAATGGGGAGAATGGTGCTGTGAGGAGGGACCTGGGGGAAGCTGGTCAAAACTCAAGGGAAAGGCGAGATCACTATATGATCAGACTGTTAATGATGCTATCAGAATTGGAACTCTGCTCTTGTTGTGATGATGAGGACAGAGCACTTTTGGGAATGTCCCGAGTGCTTTGATGTCTATTCTGCATTTAACATTCAAATATACATTTTGAATTCCAAATTGTTGATTCTCCTGCTTTGAAGAGGTAATCCTATCTGACAAAGATAAACTGAGTTTAACTACAGACTACCTGATGTAACCACCTCTGTAATTCTTATTCTTTGTCTGCACATTATTTCCCAGTCAAGTGTCATAATTTTTTCATTGACCTGTTGTGCTTTTATTTGTCACATAGAGCTCACAGTCTTTCCTCCATTCAGTTCTGTCCTATGCACTACCTTCAGTATCATGAATGAAATCCAGTCCAGCACTTTTGTGATAAACTTGTTTCCTCAGTCCCTTTTATTTCACATTTCAGTGCCTGTTTGCTGATTCTTTGCTCTTTTTTTTTCTTTCTCAGGATATGTCCAGTATAGTACCGTCTTATTTTTCTTATAACTTCTCTTCTTCTTCTTCGCGTTTTCCAGCTTTAAACTCCAGCGGAAAGTTTTGGTTGTTCGTCCACTTCTGGACTGCAGTCCTGTTCCAGAACCTGAGTGTTGCGTGTGTATCTGTTTTAGAGACTGCAGCAGACTGCTGGTTTCTTGCCGCTCAAGCAGATGCACTCCAAACTTCGAAGGAAGCTCCTAATTAGTCGACTCTTATGACATGCTTTTGGGTAGGCAGTGAGTCTGTTCTTGTTTTCCCTATAATAGGGCCCCGGAACCCACACAGGAATTTTTTTTGTAACTGTTGATACTAGAGGTTGCCCAGACATTTCTTTTATTTCTTCACCCCTTTTAAGTTCATCCCATTCCATTGTGTATACTCAACCTAGAGAGAGTGACGATGGAAGGCAGTTTATGGACAAGGAGGATAAGGCAGACCTCCACAAACATGGATAAGAGACTCTAAAGATTCATTGGCTATGAAAGCACATAGGGCTGGAGAATTGGCTAAAGAAAGAGACTTTTGGGTGTGCCGTGATGAGACTGACGTTCTGTCAAGGATCTGCTGATTGATGATGATGAGTTCTTCAGTCCCTCTTTATTTCTTTGGCTGTGTTGGTTCCAGGGCAAGAATATGCTACGTGAATTATTATCATTATGATTTCTCAGTGTGTGTCCTCTCCTCCTATCCAATACCACCCTCTTTTCTTCACCTCTTGTTCCACTGGAATTCATTTTGTTCTCTAGCAAAGCTGCACATTAGCGATTTATCAGATTGTTTAATTCCTTCTGTTTTATGCAGGCAGCCATTACGTACGTACGTATGTACGTACCTATGTACATACATACATACAAAATGCATAAATGCATGCATCATGCATACATACATACATACATACCTACATACATACAGGCATCCATGCACACAGACACATACACACACAAACACATAGAAACACATACAGACAAGCACACACTCACACATACATACAGACACACACAAACATACACACAAAGACACGGACACACACATAGCCATAGACAGATTCAGCAAGTGTGTGTAGGGTGTGGACAACACTCAACCTGGGAGGGAAGGGGGGTGGTATTGATTTTGGAATAATCAGCATGAGAGTTCTTCATTGGCTGCTGAAGCAGGAATAGAGCGCTTGTGGGATGTTCCTAGGGTTTCCCCATATGGTTTCTAGGACCTATCATTTGCAACTGACCACGAGCTAACTTCTCATCTTTCCTCTTTGATTTCTTTGTCCTTGGGTTTTCTTGCACGGGTTTCCTGCCAGGCTTGTTATGACCCTGAGCTACCACTCAAAACTGTCATCGCATGCAGTGACGTTAATATGTAATTAATTATTATTCAATAAATGTTTCATATAACATGTTTGTTAATGTCTTTTTTTTTTCTTAAATAAAAAACAAACAAACAATAGTTTATGTGTGAAGAGAATTCCGAAGACTACCTGTCACGGGTCGATGAGTCTGAAACTTGTGTCTACACGGTCACTGTAATGACATCCAGGATCTGCCGGCACCCATACCTGAAGGCTCCAGCCAAGAGAAAGTCAGTCCCCATCACTTGCAACCCTCTTCTTTCCTCCAATGAGTTTGAAGACTACATTCAGGATAAAGAAGGTGAGCTTACCAATTTTCAATCCTCATATTTTTTTCAGTTTTAACAGGAAATTAAAAGAAGTTGGAGAACAACTCAAGACATGGAATGAGAGTTAAATAATGCATTCAGAAACTTAATGCTTAAGGAAACTTATGAATGTTAAATGGGATTTTATTTCAAAGAAATGAGATCGGTGAACCGCTAGTATCGTCAGTTATAAGTAAGTAGAAATAAGTTCGGAGAACCGCTATTATCGTCAGTTATAAGTAAGAAGAAATAAGTTAGGAGAACAGCTAGTATCGGCAGTTATAAATAAGAAGAAATAAGTTAGGGAAATCACTAGTATCATCAGTTATAAGTAAGAAGAAATAAGTTAGGGAAATCACTAGTATCATCAGTTATAAGTAAGAAGAAATAAGTTAGGGAAATCACTAGTATCATCAGTTATAAGTAAGAAGAAATAAGTTAGGGAAATCACTAGTATCATCAGTTATAAGTAAGAAGAAATAAGTTCGGAGAACTGCTAGTATTGTCAGTTATAAGTAAAAAGAAATAAGTTAGGAGAACCTCTAGTATTGTCAGTTATAAGTAAAAAGAAATAAGTTAGGAGAACCGCTAGTATTGTCAGTTATAAGTAAAAAGAAATAAGTTAGGAGAACCTCTAGTATTGTCAGTTATAAGTAAGAAGAAATAAGTTAGGAGAACCGCTAGTATTGTCAGTTATAAGTAAGAAGAAATAAGTTAGGAGAACCTCTAGTATTGTCAGTTATAAGTAAAAAGAAATAAGTTAGGAGAACCTCTAGTATTGTCAGTTATAAGTAAAAGAAAAAAGTTAGGAGAACCTCTAGTATTGTCAGTTATAAGTAAGAAGAAATAAGTTAGGAGAATCGCTAGTATTGTCAGTTATAAGTAAAAAGAAATAAGTTAGGAGAACCTCAAGTATTGTCAGTTATAAGTAAGAAGAAATAAGTTAGGAGAACCTCTAGTATTGTCAGAAATAAGTAAGAAGAAATAAGTTAGGGAAATCACTAGTATCATCAGTTATAAGTAAGAAGAAATAAGTTCGGAGAACTGCTAGTATTGTCAGTTATAAGTAAAAAGAAATAAGTTAGGAGAACCTCTAGTATTGTCAGTTATAAGTAAGAAGAAATAAGTTAGGAGAACCGCTAGTATTGTCAGTTATAAGTAAAAAGAAATAAGTTAGGAGAACCGCTAGTATTGTCAGTTATAAGTAAAAAGAAATAAGTTAGGAGAACCTCTAGTATTGTCAGTTATAAGTAAGAAGAAATTAGTTAGGAGAACCGCTAGTATTGTCAGTTATAAGTAAGAAGAAATAAGTTAGGAGAACCTCTAGTATTGTCAGTTATAAGTAAAAAGAAATAAGTTAGGAGAACCTCTAGTATTGTCAGTTATAAGTAAAAGAAAAAAGTTAGGAGAACCTCTAGTATTGTCAGTTATAAGTAAGAAGAAATAAGTTAGGAGAACCGCTAGTATTGTCAGTTATAAGTAAAAAGAAATAAGTTAGGAGAACCTCAAGTATTGTCAGTTATAAGTAAGAAGAAATAAGTTAGGAGAACCGCTAGTATTGTCAGTTATAAGTAAAAAGAAATAAGTTAGGAGAACCGCTAGTATTGTCAGTTATAAGTAAGAAGAAATAAGTTAGGAGAACAGCTAGTATCGGCAGTTATAAATAAGAAGAAATAAGTTAGGGAAATCACTAGTATCATCAGTTATAAGTAAGAAGAAATAAGTTCGGAGAACTGCTAGTATTGTCAGTTATAAGTAAAAAGAAATAAGTTAGGAGAACCTCTAGTATTGTCAGTTATAAGTAAGAAGAAATAAGTTATTATCACAAGTATTGTCAGTTATAAGTAAGAAGAAATAAGTTAGTATCACATCTATTGTCAGTTATAAGTTAGTTAGTTAGTTAGTTAGTTAGTTGGGTTATCCTCATTGCACTCCGGACATGTCCATAGGTGCTCAGATCCTCCCCTCAGTATGAACCCCAACGTCCGATGGCTAATAGTACCAGTTCTATGTTGATTAACAAGTCTTCTGGCGTAGCTGGTGTGCGTCTCGTTTTTTGCTGTGCCGATCTTAATTCCCAAGTCTGCCATTCTGGCGAGTGATGTGGATTCACTGCCACCAAAGTCCTCTATTCTTCCCATTTCTCTGAGGGCATTGATAATATCAGCATGATCCATAGGCTGACCGTCGGTTGTGATAGCGGATCCAGCCAACCTGTCAGCTCTTTCATTTCCATCGACGCCTGCGTGTCCCGGAACAAAAATAAATTGTGACTCCACGAACAGTGGACTTCTGTAATGATTCAAGCCATTGTCTTCGCACTGAACCTGCCTGAACCCTCCGGATCATACTCATTGAATCACTAAGTATACACACGCGGGTGTATTTTTGTGTTTCAAGCCAGGCAAGCGCTTGTGTCACTGCCATCACCTCCATCGTCATGCTGCTGGTTGTCATGGAGAAGGCGCTGTTGGCTTATTTGACTGTTCTGCCCGCTGAGCATGCTGTAAATGCCCATGCGCTTCTTCTTTGGCGTTTAACGTATCCGTCTGTATAGATTTTTGCATCTGCTTCGTCTGAATTTTCACCGATGAGAGCGTTGACCTCTGCATCTCACAATGTTGAATTTTTATATTTTTGTAAAAGAGGAAATGATCACGTGCACTTTCCTTGGTAAACAAAAACTGTCTTTACTACCAGTATTTACTGATTTTTTGGAGTTGTGGAAAGGCAAAAATGGGGAGGGGGGGGGGGGGTTGTCATTAGTTTGAGGATTTCTTCTTCATCTTCTTTGTGTTCACCTGCTGTAAACTCTGGTGGAAAATTCTGACTGTTCATCCATTAACACATAATGTGACCTTTAAGCTGCATATCTCCTTGTAATGGAGTTTGCAGTGATTCTTTTTATAACTGTGTCATCTTTATCACATACTTTTTTTTCTGTATGTGCACTTTTTGTTTGTTTGTTTAAGAGAAACACAAGAAAGAAGAGGCCCTGAAAATAGCAGCAAAGGATGCGCTCAGCAAAGAAGGTATTATAATTTTCTTTGTCTACACATATCTGTCAGTTTATTACCTATTTCATGGCTGTCTGTAGCTTAGAGTGGAAGGCATCTCTGCCAACCATATCTGAATCCCTAAGCCCGAGAAGGCTAGCCCAGGCGACAAATGCTTAAAAAAGAAGGATGTGTCGGCCAAAAGGCACAAATATCACAAGCATGTTGCAAACGGGCACAATGCATTTAATTGATCTATAGAAGAAGGAGAAGAATCCCTGAGCATGATGATCTTTTCCAGAGCAAAATAGAAGGAAAACCTAGTCAGCCGTCCATCAGTTATTGAGTCCTGTTTGTCTTTTTGGAGTTTGATTTTGTATCACCAGCCTTATACTTTTTTAATGTTAGAAGATTCTTGACAGCTTACCCTGGCTTGGAAAGGTATCACATCATCTTCATCTTCTTTTTCTCCTCCTCCTCCTCTTCTTCTTCTTCTTCTTTGCCAGCGGTAAAGCCCTAGTTGTTTGTCCACTTCTGGACGTGTGTCTTATACCAAACATATAGATGTACAAATATTTGCCTCGGTGGTGTAAAAAAAAGCAGTTAAAGAAGAAAAAAAGACTTATATAAACAGTGGATAAAATTGAAGAGAGATCATGCTTATGTAAGTTATAGACTGTAACGAAGAGACACCAACCAGAGGATCAAAGAAGCAAAACAAGAATCCAGGAAACGTTTTGGAGAATCATAAGCAGAAAGTGAAAAAACAGCCAGCAGGACATTTGTCAAAGTAGTAAAAACTATGCCAAACAGAGATGTGAGCTACAATCCAACAGTAGTTATTAACGATAAAACAAGAAAACCATTAATAGACCCACCAGAGATAGCTGAAAGATGGAGAGAATACTTATAGATGTAGAGAAGAGTAAGTAAAAACCTCATTGAAGTTTGTAAAAGCTTATATATAGTGATTTTAGAAGCGTAGTTAGAATAAATCAGGGAACATCTAAACCATTCAAAGTAACATCTGGAGTAAGACAGGGATGTGTCTTATCACCACTCCTGTTTATCACCTACATTGACAATATAAGCAAAGATGCCAAGCCCAGGGAATGAAAATAAAAGTAACATAAAAAAATTACTCTTTGCTGATGACCAGGCCTTGATTGCAGATACAGCCATGAATGAAGAATGTAAATTGAATAATACGAGAATAAAAAGACAGAAGTAATGTCAATGGGAAGAAAGAAGTAGTAGAAGGCAACTAATTAGGGGTGTGTGCTTTGAAACTGGAGTGCATCAACCTGAGAGGCAAGGAATCCAGCAGTCTGCATAATTAGAAGTCAGATCTGTAAACAAGGATGTGCTTCCCTTGTATGAGCCGGGAAGTTTATTTTTGGACAACTCTGGTAAATATTGTTATGTCCCAAGATTACATTTTGCATGTATTTACTGTTAGTTTGACTGGGGTTCATTAAAATTCTCAGATTTGGATCTGGACCTGTCAAAGACATTGGAAAATGAAATGTCCTTAGCTGCTAAAGAGCTTCTTGGTGAGATGCTTTCTTTTTTCTGTTTGTGTGTTGTCTGTCCTAGTTCTACTACATTGTTTTGTTTGTGTGTTGTCTGTCCTAGTTCTACTACATTGTTTTGTTTGTGTGTTGTCTGTCCTAGTTCTACTACATTGTTTTGTTTGTGTGTTGTCTGTCCTAGTTCTACTACATTGTTTTGTTTGTGTGTTGTCTGTCCTAGTTCTACTACATTGTTTTGTTTGTGTGTTGTCTGTCCTAGTTCTACTACATTGTTTTGTTTGTGTGTTGTCTGTCCTAGTTCTACTACATTGTTTTGTTTGTGTGTTGTCTGTCCTAGTTCTACTACATTGTTTTGTTTGTTTGGTAATTTGTTGGGGAAATTTAGCCTTCATTGCATGTGGATTTCTCATAAGGGCTGCAGCGTCTCCCATAAACCACAGCTGTAGCATGCTGACATGGCACACAGGTTTCATAGTCGAGTCTTCTTCTTGGCGTTCACTAGCTGTCAACGCTGGTGGAAAGTTCTGGTTGTTCGTCCACTCCAGTACTTTGGTCTTGATTCAGAACTTGAGTTTTGTGTGCACATCTGTTTTACAGATCTAGCTTATTTGTATGCAGACTGTTGGCTGCTTGCCTTTTGGACAGATTCACTCTGATTTTGAAGGAAACACCCCCAATTAGTCGCCTCCTAGGACATACTTGTTAGGGGCGGCAGTAGGTCTATTCTTTGTTCTTCAAAATGAAGCCCCACAATTTACATGAGGAGATCTCACTACCAAGGCCCTTTGGGGGTGAATGAATGGTGTGGAGGCACAAATATTACAGTTTCCAGTGAATGGCAAATCAAGGAAGGACCAGATGACCACCAGAGGACCTGGATGACATGCAGCGCTCAAGGGAAAGGCAAGATGGATGTAAAGTATGACTGATACTAGTACCATTGGAGCTTGAACTGTGTGTTGGCTGCTAAAGATGGGGACAGAGCACTTATGGAAATGACCCAGTGGTGTTGATTTTTATCTCAACAGCTGAACATGGGTGTCTCATTGTATCTGTACCAGAATCACACATATAAAAATACCCCCTTTTTTGGGTTGGTTTTCTAATGTAAGAGCAGTTTAAAAGTTGTAATGAGGCTCCGGAGATGTGGATTATCTAGGCAGCCGTCAGTCCCTAAAGACCATATAGCTGTGCACTGGATTTGGGGACCTCTCCAGGGCATAGGTCTGTTGCCCAGACATCAGGTACTCCCTCTCTGGGTCGCTAGCGTTGCCAAGGCAAAGGCATTTGCTGATACAGCTAATCAGCAAAGACGTTGCAGGAATTGCCAGAACAACAGTGCAAACGTGGTTGAGCTGCTTTAGGGATTCCAACTGCTGATTTTTTCCCCCAGGGTTTACTCCCGAAACGCTTTCCAATGACCACGTCCTTTGGAGAATGTCGCTCTCGTTGTAGCACGCCTGAAAGACTCTTTCATAGCCACTGCATCTTTATTGTCTTGCATCCACATTCGCAGAGGTCTGCCTCTGCCTCATTTTCAAAACTGTTCATAAAAACTATACTGGAGAGAAAATTTAGAGGCAGGAAAATAAGAGGTAAAACACAACAAATGGGAGGATAAGATCAGGAGATTGAGGAACAGCAGTCTGGGAGAGTGTATAGTCAGAACAAGAGACGGGGAATGTTGGATATCTGTTGTAGTTGACCTCTGTTGTGAAAATTGATTGACTGTCTAATTTGAGATGTATAGTTAGTTGCAGGGATACATTTTTGATGTCTAATTTGAGATGTATAGTTAGTTGCAGGGATACATTTTTGATGTCTATTTTGAGATGTATAGTTAGTTGCAGGGATACATTTTTGATGTCTATTTTGAGATGTATAGTTAGTTGCAGGGATACATTTTTGATGTCTATTTTGAGATGTATAGTTAGTTGCAGGGATACATTTTTGATGTCTATTTTGAGATGTATAGTTAGTTGCAGGGATACATTTTTGATGTCTATTTTGAGATGTATAGTTAGTTGCAGGGATACATTTTTGATGTCTATTTTGAGATGTATAGTTAGTTGCAGGGATACATTTTTGATGTCTATTTTAAGATGTATAGTTAGTTGCAGGGATAAATTATTGTCTACTTTGAGATGTATAGTTAGTTGCAGGCATAAATTATTGTCTAATTTCTGATGTATAGTTAGTTGCAGGGATAAATTATTGTCTAATTTGAGATGTATAGTTAGTTGCAGGGATACATTATTGTCTAATTTGAGATGTAAAGTTAGTTGCAGGGATACATTTTTGATGTCTATTTTGAGATGTATAGTTAGTTGCAGGGATACATTTTTGATGTCTATTTTGAGATGTATAGTTAGTTGCAGGGATACATTTTTGATGTCTGTTTTGAGATGTATAGTTAGTTGCAGGGATAAATTATTGTCTACTTTGAGATGTATAGTTAGTTGCAGGCATAAATTATTGTCTAATTTGGGATGTATAGTTAGTTGCAGGGATAAATTATTGTCTAATTTGAGATGTATAGTTAGTTGCAGGGATACATTATTGTCTAATTTGAGATGTAAAGTTAGTTGCAGGGATACATTATTGTCTAATTTGAGATGTATAGTTAGTTGCAGGGATACATTTTTGATGTCTTTTTTTTAGATGTATAGTTGCAGTGATGAATTATTAATGCAGAGATTGTTGTAATAACTCATTCTATTGCTGTTATTATCAGCTTTATAGATTGCTTAATGTGCATTTTGCCTTTCTCATGATTAGTTATGGTAGACATAATTATGTCCTTATAATTTCAAAGGCTACACTGCCAGACAGATGTAAGGCTGGATGGTGGGATGGGGCCAGACAGTGGTTTTAAAGTGAACAAAGGGTGTACAAAGGCTGCAGATCTTTTTCCTGCTTCATGCAGATGATTTTAAGCCAGTGCAAAGAAAATACATGAATACTTAACTTAATCAAGTTTTGTCCTGTTCTTGTAGCATTTTTTTCGCAGCATGCATAACATCCTCAGGTCTGTCTCTCCATTTTCTGAAGCCTTAACTCTCAGATTTCAGAGTCTAACAGTGCTCCAAACAACTGCACGAATTCTCTACACAGCACACAAATGTTTATGAATGTTTACCACTTTCATTTTTCAGCATCCATAAACTCGCTATTTGTAAGGCAGATTGTTCCAGCACACTATTTTAATGGATTATTACAGCTGTCCTATTTGTCAGAATGTGGTGCCATTCGGTATATATACAATACAGGCATGTGAAATTTGAAGTGTACAAAATAGCCAGATACTTTTTCATTTTTTGCTTTAAAAAAAGGAGGGTAATACTTCCTGAATGTCACTTCTATTATTTCATGCTATCCCTGTGTAAGTTTCATCTCCTTTTTTGGTCAAAGAAGAGTTGACCCACTTCCTGTAACAAGCATGTTGTAGGCGACTAATTACGGGTGTTTATTTTCAAGTCTGAGTGTATTTGCCTGAGAGGCGAAGAACCAGCAGTCTGACTCTAAATAAGCCAGATCCTTGAAATGGATCTGCATGCAAAGCTCTCATTTCTGGAACAAGACCAGTCAAGAAGTAGATAAACAACTAGAATTTTTCACTAAAGTTTATAGTCGGCAAACACTAAGAAGTCGACACCCACAGCGGTAAAAGAGGAAGTGAAGAAGAAGAAGACAATAATTATTCCTGGCTAAATATAGTTTTCTTTTTTAACTTCTATCTGCCAGCCAATCAGTTTTCAGAGCTGTTAACAGATGATGACAAGAGCTCATTGTCCAAAGAAAATTTTCGGAAGTTGCAAGGGTAAGTTAACAGCTGATTGTTTATGTTTGTCTTCATTTGATTCTTTGTTGTATCTTGCATTTCAAATGCATTCTCTGGTTCCCTTTTTCTTTTTCAAGTTCATCGGCTGTGAACTGCAATGGAAATTTCTGGCTGTTTATCCACGTCTGGACTTAAGTCTTGTCCCAGAACTTGAGTTTTGCAGACACATTTGTTTTACAGATCTGGCTTATTTGTATGCAGACTGTTGGTTCCTCACCTCTCAGGCAGATACACTCTGACTTTCTCGAAAGCACCCCTGATTAGTCAACTTTTATTATATGCTAGTTAATAGGGCAGTGGATCTATTCTTTGTTCCCCCCCCCCCCCCCCCCCACAATGGGGTCATGAAACCCACTCATGGATAGCCTTCACCAAGCTTGACTTCCAGGTCACACAATCATGTTAGCATCAGAGATTCAGCGTTACCCTCTACAACTTGGTCCATACAGCATTGATGAAACCAGATATGTCCATGCTTCTTCCTGTTTGCATTCGTGCATTACTTACCAACTCTACTTACCAGTGAGTGTGTGTGTGATTGCAAGAGAGAGATAGAGAGTGAGAGAGAGAGAGAATGAGTAAGAGAGAGAGGAAATGTTACAAATTGGATAATAATATCGAAAGATGACAAACAGCAGTCTCAGGGTTAGATAATCTGGATGAGATACTGAGAGTACTGATGATTCATTGTAGCCAACCTGTGCTGTGGAGATGACACCTGATTGATTCACAGCCTATGTATCGTAACCTTTTTCTTTTTCCACAACACAGAAAGGAGGATAACATCAAGGGATGAACAAACAGCAGCTTCAGAGTGTGGCAATCAGGAGGAGACATCCCTGTGTGGGTTCGGGGCCTCATTATGGGGAAGATAAGAATTGACCCACTGCCCCCCCCCCCTTTTCCCCCAGCATGTCATAGGAGTTGACTAAATGGGGGGATTCTAAGTCAGAGTGCATCTGCCTGAGAGGCAAGGAACAAACAGTCAGCATACAAATAAGTCAGATCTGTAAAATGGATGTGCACACAATGCTCAGGTTCTGAAACAAGTCTATAAAGTCCAGAGGTGGATGAACCAACACTTTCTGCTGGAGTTTACAGCCGGCGAAGAAGAGAAGGAGAGACAGTGGGCTGCTGGAGATCCATTGCAGCGACCTTCGAAGGAGAGATGGCACATGATTGATTGATGTCTGCAACTTAAGCATCTTTTCTCTATCTATATTCACAATACATATACCTTTTCTTTTTCCATTTCTACAACATTCATTATATTCTTTTCCCATTTCCACAACACAGATATATTTTGTTTTTCCATATCCACAACATAATTATTTCTTCTTTCAATACCCACAATACTAGCATCTTTTCTTTTTTTCCAAATCCACATTTTGTTAAAACATTTGTACATAGACTATAAATATCTCTCCTTTTCCCGTGATATCAGCAGAAATGTCTTTTCTCTTGCACAGTACATTTTTTTAAAGTGAACAGAGAGATGTGATGAATTTTTTAGTTCACAAGTGCAGTATATTATTCTGTTTAATGTGATTTCACCCATCTCTTTGGTCCATGTCGTTTTTCTTGATCTATAAATTTTTTTTAAGTGAACAGAGGGATGTGATGAATTTTTTTCGTTCACAAGTGCAGTATATTATTCTCTTGAATGTGATTTCACCCATCTTCTCTTTGGCCGATTTCTGTTCCAGGGGAGAGCAATCAGTCGTGAAGATGCAGCAGAATGGGTTGAAACAAAGCTTGCAAGAGGTGTTGGATTCTGAGGCTGAAGACACCAGCTCGGAGAAAGGAGAAATTGGAGAGAAAGAAGAAAATGTTCCAAATGAAGACGATGAGGTTTTATCTCAATTTGATAAAGGTACGAACAGTATGTTTTAGCTATTGGAAGTAAAGAATAATTAAGAAAATAACTTGCCATTTCTTTTATTAAAAACAACTTCTTCTTCACGTTCACCGGCTGTAAACTGGAGGAAAGTTCTGGTTTTTCATCCACTTCTGGAGGTTGGTCTTGATCTAGAACTGGAGTTTTGCCTACATATCCTTTTAACAGTACTGGCTTTATTTGTTTGTAGACTGTTGTTTCCTCGCCTATCAGGCAAATGCACTCCGGCTTTGAAGAAAACACTCCTGATTAGTTCCTTTTTTTATGACATGCTTGTTAGTTGTAGGGAGACAGTGGGTTTGTTCTTTTTTCCCTAAAATGGGACCCCGGAACTCATACAGGAAGTTAAAAACAACATTAGCAATACAGTATTGGTCATAAAATACCCCCAAAAAATCTAATGGAATGCCTATATTTAATAAAGTTAGTTGCATATCCTTTACAGGACGTTGCAGAACCAACTCCAGCATTTTTTACATTTTTTGGCTGTTGCGGTTTTTTAAACACATTTTACTTTTAGTGGTTTGTCATTGCTTTTTGAATGGTCAGCTCTCGGTACCACTGTCGAAAACAACGCAAGACAAATCGTCAACTGCTGGGATCGAACCAGGCACTACGGAGCATGTCCACAACACCTAAGCCACAGACGGCAACAATATATTTAATAGGGAGTTAAAATATTGTGTTGATTGTGGCGGGGATGCTGATGATATTGGCAGTGCTAATGATGTTAATAAGAAAGATGATGACCCAGTTAGCTATGAGCAAGTAGCTCTGATACACTTGCACACATAGGTCCTCCTCACTTATGGCAGTGAAGAATTTAGCTGAAAGCAAAGGTAAGAGAAGAAAAGGTCTGGTGGAATAGTAGCATAGAAAGAGGTAGGAGCAAATGCACCATGAAAATGAGGGCACTTATAACTAACTGTAATAAAAGTATTAGTGGTAGGCATAATTGTAATGGGAACAACAGTAGTAGTAAAATTAGTAGTTGTAGCAATAATTCTAGTAGTTAAATAGTAGTAAAAATAATAATAGTTGCATCCATAATAATATTTTTAGTAGTACTAGCAGCGTCAAAGCAGTAGCTTTTGTTATAGAATTTGTTCTTTGTATTTTTGTGAGTCATTAATGTTTTTTTATTCCTAATGACATTATCATGGATCGTGCAGTTGTTATTCCATTATGACTTCTATTCTTTTCCTGTTTTCCTTGTGTGTGTTCCGGCACTCTTTTGTGGGGAAAACGGGAATAGACCCATTGCCTACCCTAAAAAGCATGTTGTAAGAGTCAACTAATTGGGAGCTTCCTACGAAGTGGGAATATATTTGCCCAAATGGCAAGGAACAACCAACTGCACATGGATAAGTCTTTATAATGGATACACACACAACTCTGGCACAAAGCCAAAGCCCAAATGGACAAACAACCAGGACTTTCTGCTGGAGCTTACAACCGGTGAACAAAGGTAAAGTCAAAAGATGTGAACCAGCGTCATTGCACATGGTTATAAACCATAAGTGATCTGCCACCAGTGCGGACAGCTGACAAGAACTGTCCGCCTGTGTCACCGTCCACACGAAACTCTGCAGCTACAGCAATGTTCCTCCATTTACCCCAGAGTGTTAACTCTGGTACCTATTTCCTAGAGGCTGGGTGAACCCCAGAAACTGTCCGGTTTCAAACACCGGCTGTGGGCTACAGCGAGTTGCAGCTGAATTTGTGGTATTTATTCTTTATATTTCTGTTATCTCATCACGGTTGTTCCTGTTAATGAGTTTTATCATGTGCTATTATTGTTCATTAATGATTCGGACACCAACAAGGTCAATAAATTGTTCATATCTCCAGATAATGTATGTACACCTTTAACTCTTTGCCTCAAGATGCCAATATGTAGGCTACACCCCCAAATCCTAGGTTGCCTGTGTATTATCTTTGCTGCGTTAGCTAGCACCCGACAGGTTAAGTTAGCGGCATTGGGTCCTGTCTGCACCTGTGCAGTGTTTAGGAGGACCGGGAATGATTACATTTACTAAAATTAGCTTGGGTTGGGTAAAGGGTGGAAAGTGGGGGGGGGGGGGGATGACTAAAACAGTCATTATAATGTCATAATGACATTATTATCCAACTTTGGTTTGCAGTTGCATAGTGATGGGGGTTACTATTTGTGTCACTGTGTAAATTTTGTTAGACTCTTAAGAAATATTTTCTGTTTAATTCTCCGCTTCATTTGTGGTTGTTGATTACTCATGTGTTTGCTAGTTACTTCACTTTATATATTAAACATTTTTAAGTAACTATATATAAATGATTTTTATTTAATTTTTATAATTACCTGTGTAAAATTGGTGGGGGGGGGGGGGGGGTTTCTTGATCTAGATTCAAAGCGACGACCCCCCCCCCCCCCCAAACCACCACTACCCACAGTTAACCGTAGCTTTTATACTTTTTATTTCCTTCAATGTTGTAAGTTTTTTACTTGTTTTTATCATTCAACATGGCTGTCCAGAGATTAGTACAATCAAAGCAAAGTTCCAATCCTCCCAGAATAAGTTGTCCAGCATCAAGAGAAAGCTGGGCATTGAGCGACACTGGGAGTCAGAGATTGAGAATGCTATTAAAGAGGTCAGGTCTAGTTGGATGTGTTATGTTGGTGAAACAAAAGTGTTGTATGTCTTGTGTTTAGCGTATGGTTTGCACAGTGTTGGCTGAAAGTGATGTTGGTTTATGGTTGGCATATCTGTTGCATGAAAGTGTAATTTCTGAGTGTGGCATATGCACAGCCATCAGATGAAAGTGCAGTCTGAGAGTATGGTATATGGTTGGCACATCTGTTACATCATCATGTAGCAGGTCCTTTGCAGAACATCGCTGTCATCACGGTCTGGCTGAAAGAAACTCAGTCTCTTGCCAGCTCTCCTGCCTCATGTACTTTCATATCCAAGGAGTCACTTATATCCTGTGCCCATCTTCGTGTTGTTCGGTCCCTGTACCTCCTTCCTGGTACCATGCCTTCTGCTATTATTCTTTCTAGTCCGTCGTGGCGCTTGATATGACCAAAATATTTCAGCTTCTGAGACATGATGCTGTTTATTTGTCAGTCTTCCATGATGTTCAGTTCTTTTTAAATGTCAGTATTTGTTCTCTTCTTCCTCCATGGTATTCTGAGAATCTTTGTATAGCATTTCAGCTCGAAAGCCTTTGTTTTTTTTTTTTAAGGACTGGGAGATAGCCACGTATGTTGCTACAAGAAAGATGCATGCTCTCAAAATTTTAATTTTGGTTTCCTTGCAGGTGCTTAACCACAGACTTTTAATTCTGTTTTATCTTTGCATTGCTATGGCCATCCTCCTTTGGATTTCTGTTACATGAATGTTTAATCTGTGAGTATCATATATGATTGCTCACCTTTGAGATGACTGTGCAGCCAGCGTAAAATATTGTGTACGGTTATCACTTCTATCTGATAAGAGCTGTGGAGTACAATGTAGGGTATATGTTGTTAGAGGGGACACAGGAGAAAATAAAAAAAAATAAAAACAAATACACAAAAAACCTTCTTACAAGACTGTTAATTCAAAAGAAAAAAAAAACACTGGTTTGTAATTGTTACAGGGACCACATTTAAACTACGGTTAAGAGGAAATTGTTGATTGTAAATAATTCAGATCATTCCTATAGATTAATTTTACTGATGATATCCTTGACCTGAATACAATCTTCTACAGGCAGAACAGGAATTAGGTGTGAAGGTTGACAGAAGTCTAATCTCTGGTCTCTCCAACACACTGGACAAGTTGGTCAATAAGCTGCATGACACGGAGAGAGGTCAGTTATAGATCATTGTAGTTGGTCAATAAGTTGCATGACATGGAGAGAGGTCAGTTATAGATCATTGTAGTTGGTCAATAAGTTGCATGACACGGAGAGAAGTCAGTTATAGATCATTGTAGTTGGTCAATAAGCTGCATGACACGGAGAGAGGTCAGTTATAGATCATTGTAGTTGGTTAATAAGCTGCATGACACGGAGAGAGGTCAGTTATAGATCATTGTAGTTGGTCAATAAGTTGTATGACATGGAGAGAGGTCAGTTATAAATCATTGTAGTTGGTCAATAAGCTGCATGACACGGAGAGAGGTCAGTTATAGATCATTGTAGTTGGTCAATAAGTTGCATGACATGGAGAGAGGTCAGTTATAGATCATTGTAGTTGGTCAATAAGTTGCATGACATGGAGAGAGGTCAGTTATAGATCATTGTAGTTGGTCAATAAGTTGCATGACATGGAGAGAGGTCAGTTATAGATCATTGTAGTTGGTCAATAAGTTGCATGACATGGAGAGAGGTCAGTTATAGATCATTGTAGTTGGTCAAAAAGTTGCACGACACAGAGAGAGGTCAGTTATAGATCATTGTAGTTTATGGTCGTTAGAGTGTTGTTTGTTCCTAAATTCATGATGTTAACTGTTTTGCTTACAATAATAAATGTGTAAAAACTAAATACTGAAACAAAACTTAATGAAATAAACTCATAATTTACATAGACAAACATGCAAATACTTACTTTAGAGGTCAGGCAGCGAAGGCTAGGGAAATAAAGACGGGGGCAATAGTTTCATAATCACTAATACAGAACATGTCATTTTTCTCTTCCTCCCTGGTTTTGGCCTTTTATGCCGTAAAAATCCAGCTTGCATCCTGGATTTTGCCGCGACCGTGGCCTCGTATCCTGAAAAACTTGTATCCATGTACATATTCTGAGGTTCTAGTGTACTTTCTGATAGTGATTATGACTCTGATAACTGTTTGAACTGCATAGAATATGACTGGTGGGCTACAAATATTTGTGTAGTAAATGTTTTATTGGATACTTTTCATGTTTGAGTAAAATGTATTTCTACCCTTGTTAAAAACAGTAATGTTTTATGGCGGCTCACACTAGTATGCAGGACTGGCACCCTTTTTAAGGCATTCGTTTTTAGCACAACTGTTATAGATACTTTGTAGTAAGTACCGGCACATTTTAAGACACTTTTTGTAGAGTACTAGCACCTTTCTTTCCAGAAAAAAGCCCCGGTTAAATTTGTTAAAATTTCAAAGAAGCGCTCTCATAATTTACTTAAAAATGTTTGGTTTCAGTTAATAATTGTAAGTTTGAGTTGAAATGTGTAATGTTGATGAAATATTCTGTATATATATATATTATGTTTTTATGAATATGTTGATGATTGATGTTTGAAGAACTGTCTTCCATGGACAAAGAGATTGGTAAGCTGAAACCAGGGAAGAAAATCCTGAGAAATGATGGGGACGATGGAGATGATGATATCGATGCTGACAGAAACAAGGAGCTGCCTCTTTCAGACAAGACAAAGCAAAGAGATGACGACGACGATGCTGATGATGAGACAGTTGGAACTGGTGTTGTAGAAGAAGCTGAGGCTGATCGTGTTGTTGGGGACAATGGTGATTTTGGTATGTGTGACTTTTGTGTAGTGCACCTTTATTTTGCTTCTTCTTCTTTATTCAGACTCAAAAGGTGAATGGCAGGCTTAGTTGTGGTTTACAGCAAGGCTCTAATATCTGCACCTTTTCATCCCAACACACATCCAGTTTCAGCACATTACTAATTAGTTGCCCTTTATGACCTACTTATTAGGGTGGTACTGAGTCTACCCCCCCCCCCCCCACCAATTTTTTCCCCCTACCAGAAGCAGACCCAGGAACCCACCTGGGGAACAGTGAAACTTAAACTCGAGCATCTCTGTTTACAGCTGAAGCTCCGCAAGAGACATAGAGAAAAATGTGTTTTCCCGTCACTTTCTATTGTGGGCTTCTTTCTATGCTTGAAGGTAACAGACAGCTAGAACTTAACACCAGAGTTCACAACCAGTGAATTGAAAGAAGCTACTTTAAACTAAAATGTCTTGGGATAGAAATAGTTTTAAGTAATGACAGCCTGGTATTTCTTTTTCTTAGCGTTCACCCAGCTTAAACTCAGGTAGAAAGTTCTGGATGTTCGTCCACTTATGGTTTTTGGTCTTGTTCCAGATCTTGAGTTTTGCATGCATGTCTGTTTTACAGGTCTGGCTTTTTTGTAAGCTGACGTTGGTTCCTTTCCTCTCAGGAAGGTGCACTCAGACTTTGAAGGAAATACCCTTGCAGGTGCTTTGGTCAAGTTCAACCAGCATTCCCAAAGGGGGAGCTTTAAGTTATAATTGTGATTAGGTTATGTGCACCATATAAAATGGCTTAGCATTGTACGCCAGCAAGCACCCCTGAAAAGGACTCCTGCGGTGTTGACACAATCAAAGGAGGCAGACCCAAATACTGTTCCGACCGGCGACGAAGTCCTCAACTGGTGAGCCAGTGGGCGACCTGGGCTCTGAGAAAGGAAATACCCCAAATTAGTCACCATTTAAGACATACTTTTAGGGTAGGGGGCAGTGGGTGTAATCTCTTACCCAAAATTTGTTTTCCTTCGTAACCCACATTGGGGGATGCTGGTACCGAAACACAGTATCCGCAGCATGCCTGATTGGCAGATTGTTGAGTTTACTGTCATGTGATCTGTGTGCTAGAGGTGCCCTAGGTTACTCACATGCTTACATTTTGGTCCTTTCCAGTAATCAACAGGCATGAGGCAGTTGGTGACGTTAAGTCATCGTACACACAAGGTCAAGGGTCAGATCTTCATGACAAGATTCAGGCACCGCCCAAACTTGGTGTTCAGTCTCATGGTAATGATTGCTTCACAATATAACATCTGTCCTTAGTGTGAGAGTTTGTTTGTGTGCTTTCACCGGCTGTAAACACTGGTGGAAAGACCTGGTTGTTCGTCCATTTCTGGACTTTGGCTTTGTTCCAGGACCTGAGTTTTGTTTGTGCATCCGTTTTACAGATCATTGTAAGCAGACTGTTGGTTCCTTGCCTCTCAGGCAGATGCGCTCCGACTTTAAAGGAAGCCCCAGATTAGTCGACCTCATGCTTGTTGGGGAGGAAGTGGGTCTATTCTTGTTTTCCCCGCAATGGGACCCCGGTACCCGCACAGGAAATTTGTATAATTGTATATGTCATTCTGTGGTGAATGTATTTGTAATATGTGTAGGTTCTGGTACTGGCTTATTAAGATCTTCACCATAGCTAAGGAATTTTGGCATTGAGCTTAGGCACTTCTGGTACACTCCAATAGGACAACTTGAGATGAGCTGGTTGTGCACCTGTGCTCCATTGGGGGCCAAAAGGCAGAAGGAGAAGTGTAGTCCAAAAGCAAAGGTAGAAGCATAAATGGAGATACTTTTATGATGTGCTGAAGTTGATGTTTGAATCTTTCACTGGTTTCATGTTTGCTGACATCCCACAGCAGTTGGAAATCACTAAGAAATGGTCATGCGGTTCCAGTCCTGCCTAAATTGTTAAGGTGAAAAACCTATCCATGAATAGATAGAACCTGTTACTTGGCTTGGAGTTTGCCTGGTGGAAGCAAACTTTACAATTATATATGTCAAAGTCAGACACTTTATCAGTGAAGTGTGCTCACCTAGATGTGGTGTACTTCTCGTTGACAGTAGAACTAAAAGTATTTTTGCTATATTTCTCTTCTAGTTCTTCTACTTCTTTTTTTGCTTCTTTTTCCACTTCTTCCTTTACTTCTACTTCTTCATTTCTTTCTATTCTTCTATTCCTCTTCTTTCTGTTTTTCTCCTTCTTCCTTTTCTTTCTTCCTTTGTGTTATCTTCTTCTTCTTCTTTCGTTCGCATGAAATAAATTGTCTATATCTGCAAATCCGTCTCTTGTATGAATTTCACTGTCTTTTGTAATTCACTAAGCGGCCCGTAAAGTTTGACTTCCACAAGTGTCTCTTTTGGCCAAATGTTTTGCCTGAAAGCGTTGAATATGGGACAGTCTTGAAAGATGTGATCTGTTGTTTCAGGTGCCAGTCCACAAGTACACATGGCTGATTGGCCAATCTTAAATTTGTTGTACACCTTTGTGTTATAATCAGTATGCTGATTGTATTGCATCTGCTGATATACTGCAGTATCTGTGCATATAACTGGCACATGGATCTCGACACAGCTGTTTTGAAAAGCCAGACTAGCCTTCTCTATTCCTTAGAAGCTATGAATACTCACTTTTGTGTAGTTTTTGTTTCTAGGGCAAGATGCTTTCCATAATATTTCTCATTGTTCAAAATTCTCACTTAAAAAAAAAAAATCGTCTAGCTTTTTTCATAATCTTCTTTCATTTTATCTTGTCATAAACCTATTTGTCATTACTTGTAATGATCTATTTTGTTTAGCCGTTCTTCTTCTGCACACATGCGCAATATTTGAATCTTTTGGCCGACGCATCTGACTTCTGCAAGCATTTGTATACCGGGTCAGCCTTCCTGTTTTTTTTAGCCATTCAAAATTTGTTTCTTATGTTATAGACCTATTTTTTGATTTTTCCTCATCTGTATCCATATTTTAGGATCTGAAGAAGGTATTGATGATGAAAAAGCTGAGGGTCCCGCCAAAGAAACCAAAGAAGATGGTAATGAAGATGCGGATGATGCCAAGTCGGATATTGAAATTACAGTGAAAACTGTGGAGAGCGACATGGAATTACCCAAAGATGTGCAGAAACTCTTGGAGGACACGGTGCGCAAAGGGCTTCAGAAACACAGACAGCAAACAGGTTAGTGTGGTAGAGATGTGCCACATCAAGAACAGGATTACATATCTTCTTCTTTTCTTCTCCTCCTCCTCCTTCTTCTCATTCTTCTTTATCTTTTCTTCTTATGCTCCTCGAGTCCCAACTCCTTCTTCTTTTCTTCTTCTTCAGTCAACCAATTTTATCAGGCCACGCTATTTTTTTGTTTACCATCTCCTGCAACTGACTGCATATCCTGACCCATATTATTCATCTTTGTCTCTAAGTTTCTTCTTCATATGATTTTATGTCTTCCACATCTCTCTTTCTCTATGGATTCCATTGATAGGAATTTCTTCTTCTTTGCCATCACCGACTATAAACTCTGGCGGAAAGTTCTGGTTTTTCATCTGCTTCTGGACTTTGGTCTCCTTCGAGATCTTTAGTTTTGCATGCACATTCATCCATTTTACAGATCTGGCTTATTTGTGTGCACACTGTTGTTTACTTGCCTGTCAGGCAGACCCACTCAGACTTTGAAGGCAACCTTCCTGATTAGTCGACTTTTGTGACATGCTTGTTAGAGGGCAGTGAGTTTGTTCTTTTTTCCCCCCGAAAAAGGTCCCGGAACTCACACATTGACTATAAATTCCATTGAGAGGAATTTCAATTTTTGTGTATTTATGTCCTGTCTAGCACCAGTGCCTGTTTCATCAGCTGATTCACAGGAATGTGTTTATGCCTCGTTGTAGTAATTTAGTCCGTGTTTCATTTTGTTGTTACCATTCCACTGAGTCAGATTGTATGAACTTTTAAAAATTGTATGTTGTTGTTGATTAACATTTATAATGAAAGTATAGCACATAAACAAAAATAGCACATTACATACATCGGGTATACATTGCATGTAGTATAATATCTGTCACATTACACTTGTAATGAGGTTCTTTGTGCCTGACCAAGTCATAAGACTCAGGAAGTCCACGACAAGGAAAAGGTTTCCACCTTAGAAAGTTCCAAATCAGGAGCCAGATTCCAAATGAAAACACTCCTAGCAGAAAAAGGAAACACACATGACATGACAAAACTGTGGTTGCTGTCCTTCACAAGTTATGAGGATCTCTCTTTCTTCTATCCATCCTGAAACTATAGTTGATTGTCTGTTGTTGATTTGATTGTCTGTTGTTGATTGTCTGTTGCTGATTGTCTGTTTGTGATTGTCTGTTGTTGATTGTCTGTTGCTGATTGTTGTTGGTGATTGTCTGTTGTTGATTGTCTGTTGTTGATTGTCTGTTGGTGATTGTTGTTGGTGATTGTCTGTTGTTGATTGTCTGTTGTTGATTGTCTGTTGCTGATTGTCTGTTTGTGATTGTCTGTTGTTGATTGTCTGTTTGTGATTGTCTGTTGTTGATTGTCTGTTGTTGATTGTCTGTTTGTGATTGTCTGTTGTTGATTGTCTGTTGCTGATTGTTGTTGGTGATTGTCTGTTGTTGATTGTCTGTTGTTGATTGTCTGTTGCTGATTGTTGTTGGTTGTCTGGAGGTGGCCCTCTGCTTCAGTTTCCAGAAACTGCCCTCCATCACCACTCTCTTCCAGCAACAATGACATTTAACATGGCTAGAATACCTCGACTTTTGGGACATGATGCTGTTTATATGCCAATTCTCCCCAGTGATCGGATCATGCATTCTGTCGTCGTTTTTCTTATACAAAGTGAAGTTAAGGACCCTATTTCGCATGTTTAGGCATGTTGGGAATATATGGCTAGATTTATAGATCAATCAACACTTTGGAGGTGATATAGTCAGCATCACAATGGCTGCCTTTACTTCCCATGACTTTTACCTGGTACCCATTTAAGGTTGGGTCAACCTGGGAGCCACAGTCATTTTTTTAAAGTAAAAAAAAACAGTCCAGCTCTGTCAGGACTTAAACCCACAACCTTCCAATCTGCAGGCAAGCATCTAGCTGCTACACCATGATGGCTCCCACATTGTAAACTCTTTTAGTCACAAGGAATGCATCATACATTCATAGGTTCCTATCTAGAAACCCAGTGAACACAAGATGCTCCAGTTTTATATCTGTCTTTACTACCCCTTGGACCTCTGATGTTAAATCCCCTGGGACTTAAAGAGTTAAGTTAATAAAAAGAGTTAAGTTAATAGAAAAGAAAAGAGTTAAGTTAATAGACATACTTACTACCTTATTGTATATTTTCAGATTCACCAGCTCTGGGCTTTGACTCTGATCATTCCATCAATCGAGACAAGACTGTCCACATTTTCCAGCAGGAGGATGAGGATGGCAAAACCAACAGATTCATCCTTGTGTTTGTAAGTTGCTTGTGGAGAATTTGTTTGTTTTGTTGCCTGTGAGATGCTACTGGAGAGTTTTGGCACCAGACTGGTTAACTCATCCCTTAGAAAACTTTAGCTGCAGATCCTAATAGATATGAACAAGTTTATTTCTTCTGGCAGAAAGTTCTGATTGTTAGTCTACTTTTCAATCTTCTGGCAGAAAGTTCTGATTGTTAGTCTACTTTTGGATCTTCTGGCAGAAAGTTCTGATTGTTAGTCTACTTTTGGATCTTCTGGCAAAAAGTTCTGATTGTTAGTCTACTTTTTGATCTTCTGGCAGAAAGTTCTGATTGTTAGTCTACTTTTGGATCTTCTGGCAGAAAGTTCTGATTGTTAGTCTACTTTTGGACTTTGATCTTGTTCCAGAACTTGGGGTTTGCATGCACATCCATTTTATAGAGCTGGCTTGTTTGTATGCAGATGTTTCGTTCCTTGCTCTCTGGAGGATGCACTCTGACTTGAAAGGAAAATTTCCTAATTAGTCACTTTTATGGACATGTTGGGAGGAGGGGGGGGGGGGGGGGGGGGGGGGGGGGGGGGGGGGGGGGGGGGGGGGGGGGGGGGGGAGGGGGGGGGGGGGGGGGGGGGGGGGGGGGGGGGGGGGGGGGGGGGGGGGGGGGGGGGGGAGGGGGGGAGGAGGCAGTAGATCTATCCCCTTCCCCCACAAAACCCACATGCGGGGGAATGTTTACTACAAAATGATTGAAATAACACAAAGAATGACTAAGAAAGTCAACTAGTAGAAAAGGAAAGATGTGCACAGAAACAACCGAATGTTTGATCATAGTCTTTATCAACAAATATAAAACAAGAATCCTAAGCCACAGCCCCTCTACTACAATATGAAGGTGTGTGCAAGCCAGAGAATAAATTGTGACCATTTGACAAGAAAGATAGAGGAAATTTGAAATTCTTTACTGAATATATTATGACCATTTGATAAGAAAGATAAAGGAAATTTGAAATTCTTTACTGAATATATTATGACCATTTGATAAGAAAGATAGAGGAAATTTGAAATTCTTTACTGAATATATTATGACCATTTGATAAGAAAGATAGAGGAAATGTGAAATTCTTTACTGAATATATTATGACCATTTGATAAGAAAGATAGAGGAAATTTGAAATTCTTTACTGAATATATTATGACCATTTGATAAGAAAGATAGAGGAAATGTGAAATTCTTTACTGAATATATTATGACCATTTGGAAAGAAAGATAGAGGAAATGTGAAATTCTTTACTGAATATATTATGACCATTTAGAAAGAAAGATAGAGGAAATGTGAAATTCTTTACTGAATATATTATGACCATTTGGAAAGAAAGATAGAGGAAATGTGAAATTCTTTACTGAATATATTAGGACCATTTGGAAAGAAAGATAGAGGAAATGTGAAATTCTTTACTGAATATATTATGACCATTTGGAAAGAAAGATAGAGGAAATGTGAAATTCTTTACTGAATATATTATGACCATTTGGAAAGAAAGATAGAGGAAATGTGAAATTCTTTACTGAATATATTTTGACCGTATCAAAAGAGAGGTAGAGGAAATTTGAAGCTCTTTGCTGAAATTTATTGTGACCATGGGAAAGAAAGATAGAGGAAGAACACACTTGAAGATTCATGAAAGCCTTCTATCATGGAATGGAGGGGTGTCTGCACCTGGATTGATACATGCTGTTAATACTCACATTTTGTGGAAAGGTATGGTCGCCCATGCCACTATGCAAGGCACGCGATGATGATGATGCTTTCTCTTTCTGATTTTCCCTGTAGAAGTTGTGTCATTAATGTTTCACCTCAGTCTACTAGACATCTGTTTTCACCTATGTAAGTTTGTAATTGTGTCCCCTTATCCACACAGGGATTTAATACGTTCTCCGACGAGGCGGCAGAGAAAGAGAAACAGTCGTCACTTGAACAGAATTACAATTTTGTTTACAACAAGAAAAAGGATAAAAGAACCATCAGTGCCTGAACAGGATACAACCAGTGCAGATATTTTCTAGTTTCTGTGGAATTGTTATGCACTGTGGAGGTTGTTTTATGTTTTTCTGGTTTAAATCCATGGCTTGCTGTAAAGCACGCCTGATTTGTCATTGTTTCTAGTGTTTGGATTTTTATTTTCATTTTGTTTTGTTGAATGAACTTTTACCATCATTGTAATAAGTAGAACTGAGGTAGTTACTGGTGGTTAGATCTCCTGGGCCATCCATGACGTTTTAAAATCAAATATGAGTGTCTGTCTACCTGTCTATTTGTGTGTCTGGCTCTTTGTATATCTCTCTGTCTGCCAATTAGTCTTTCTGTTTGTCTGTCTGCCTATGAGGATTTGAAGAAGCATCTGGTTTGAACTTCGAGGTTTACTAATAGATGCCTGTTTGCCTGTCCGTCTGTCTGTCAGTTCACCTATCAATCTTTTAGCCTGTCTGTCCGTCTGTATTTGTATAATTTCATTATAAATGTGTGCGGTGACCGGGTGACAAACTCCTTGTGGTCTGAGTTCATGCTCAGGAGGCGGCAGAAAATTCATATATTTCCTAGATTCATACTATCTGTCTTAGAATCAAGGCTGAGGGGTTGCAATATCCATAGTACTGAGCCAAAGGTTTTACAACTCATAGTTTCTGGAATCCCCCTCACCCCCCTGAATTTTTTGTGTGTGCCTGACTGCCTTCTACATATTTGTTTGTCTGTTTCCCTGGCATTCTGTCAACCTATTCGTCTGCCTGTACTTTATCATTTTAATGAAAGGCCAAGAAAAAAAGATCTGTTGTGCCATACTATTTTATAATCAAAGATAATGTATGTCTGTCTTACTCTCAGCTTATCGGTCTGTCAACCGGTCTGCCATCCAGTCAATGAGGGTAATCTTTTCTGTCACTTCCTGTTATCTTTTCTATCACTTCCTGTCATCTTTCACTTCCTGACATCTTTTCTGTCACTTCCTGTCATCTTTTCTTTCACTTCCTGACATCTTTTCTGTCACTTGCTGTCTTCTTCTTCCTCTTCTTCTTCTTCTTCTTTTTCTTCTTCTTCTGCTGGTGCTGCCTCTGCTCCTCCTTCTTGTTGGCATTTATCAACTGTAAACTCTGGCTGAAAGATCTGGCCTTTCGCTCCACTTCTGATTTGCAGATCTGGCTTATTTATATACAGACCTCTGGTTCCTCGTCTGTCAGACGGGTGCACTCCGATTTCTAAGGAAACCCTTAATTAGTAAACTCTAACAACATACGTGTTAGGAGGCGGTGAGGTATTCCCCCCCCCCCCCCCCCCCCTTCAGAACCCCTACGGGGAACTTCCTGTCAAGCATTATGTGCATAAAAAACAGTATAACCTATTTTTTTTCCTCTTATTCCCTACTTGTCTTACTCCACTCAGTGATATGCAGTCTGATATAATTATTTGTGGCATTAAAAAATATAATCCTAACCTGGCCAGTCTGTGGCCACAGTACTGGCCATGCATCCCTAAGTCCTCAGGCTCAAAGACCTCCCTGCCTACACCGCAAAAGTGGTAAACACTTTCTTGTTTGAATATTTCATTTTGTCCTTGCATCCTTGTACATCTCCACCTAGTAATTTGGATTTGTTCTTTTGTCTCTTCCTCATTCACTTTCAATAACATGTTCACCTCAAAACACTATATCTCTAACCAAACCAGTTATTAGTTATGTTCAAGACATTCCCATACAGTTTTTGGTCAAATGAAATCAGCTGGTACTTTTTACATTTATGTTCAATGCTGTATGTTTTTATAAACTGTAGAGGGGAGTGGCAGAGATGGGTCTTTTGCCTGACACACAGATCCAACAAACCTAGGCGTGCCTGAACCTGGAGCTTGGGCACAGTGGCCCCCCTCCCAGAAACACAAATTCAAATGGGATGGGGGTGGGGGGTGCTGAGTACCCACTCATCCTATGAAATTTGCGAGGGGGCTAAGTGGGTCCTGTAACAACGTAAAGACGTCCTCTTTTTAAGTGTATGTTGATGCATGCCATACTGTTTCAATGATATTAATATATTTGTTTGCCATATTTATTTTTAATTTTTTATTTTCATTGCCGACCACTTAAACAAGGCTTAACTCTTTCAGGCCCATGAATTTGGACTTTCTTGACACCCATTAATTTCCCTGTACAAAACTGGCAGAGGGCTGGTTTAAATAAAAGGCAATTAAGAGTGTAATATATTTGTTACCCGTACAAAAGTATATATATTTTTGTAGGAGGAATGAATATACATTTTGAATTTGATAATATATTTTTGTTTTATGCTGTTGTAGTTAGTAGGGAAGAAGAAAGAATTCAGCAGGTGTTATGTTTACAAAGACAAAATTTTACACACACAAATAAAAAATTACTCTCTTGATGGTTGTGCAGCCACAAGAGCAGTGAATATCCAAATTTGAGAATAACACTTTAAAGTTTGTTCTATTTTTTAACAATATAAAAGTTATGACAAGTTTCTGGATTAGTTTATCACTCAGAGGCTCTAGGTTCTCATAGAAGCCAGAACAAAATGTCAGAAAAATGGGCCATTACACACAAAATATTTACTTTTAACAGTTATGTACAGGCTGTAGCTGCAAGCATTTAAACGCAGCTTAACCAGAGCATCATGTGTCGGCTCTGCATTTATGGAAGCCTCCTTGGATGGCGGGGAATGCCCATGATCTGCCCCTGCCTTCCCTTGAGGGCTGACAATTCTACATAGAGCTGCCTTAAGGACGACATTCTGGGGGCCACACCTGTTAATGGTCAAAGAGGACACCACACAAATGAGGCAACATCTCGACCCACACAAAACAATGGCCACAGTCAACCTAGAAATAGGCTTGACGTCTTCCCCCGAAGTCGGAGTACATCTGCCGGAGAGGCGGGGAACGAGAACTGCGAACAAATAAGCCAGTAAAACGGATGTACACGCAAAACTCAGGTCAAGGTAAAAGCCAAAAGTCCATTTTGGACGAACAACCGCAACTTACCGCCGGAATTCACAGCCGGGGAACAAGAAGAAGAAGAAGAAGAAACGCAGCTTAGTCATAGAATGGTACAGTTTGAAACAGTCCTTTTGCATGCAGATGTAGGTGACTAAAGGTAAAGGTCTTTAGATGTGGGTGACTAAAGGTAAAGGTCTTTAGATGTAGGTGACTAAAGGTAAAGGTCTTTAGATGTAGTGACTAAAGGTAAAGGTCTTTAGATGTGACTAAAGGTAAAGGTCTTTAGATGTAGGTGACTAAAGGTAAAGGTCTTTAGATGTGGGTGACTAAAGGTAAAGCTCTTTAGATGTGGGTGACTAAAGATAAAGGTCTTTAGATGTAGGTGACTTAAGGTAAAGCTCTTTAGATGTGGGTGACTAAAGGTAAAGCTCTTTAGATGTGGGTGACTAAAGGTAAAGGTCTTTAGATGTGGGTGACTAAAGGTAAAGATCTTTAGATGTAGGTGACTCTCACATCCTTTGCAAATGAAATGGGTCCTCCTGGGTTTACCTGATCAGAATTGTTAGATTATCTAACAACTGCTTAACTGCCAAAAAAAACTAAAGTTTTCATTATCATTATCAGAATTAAAAACATCTGACTCAAAGAATTTGTTTAGCTTCAGCCTTTGCTTGTCAGAACATTTGTATCCACGGCCATTTGAAGACGAAATCAGAAAATTCACTATCTGAAAATGATACTAACAGTGAAACGGATACATTTGTGCTTAAATGCTTGAGCAAAGACTTGGAAGAAATAAGCAAAAATGTTAAGAGTTACCTTCCCTGAATATTTTATTGGTTGTTCTGAACACTGAAAAAGAATATAGAGCAGTATGAAAATCAATAGGTATGGGACACATGATCGACATTTGATCAATTCGAAACTTGTTAGTCAACACACACAGTGTTGCTCGGGCCTGAAAGAGTTAAGTGACCCCCTCCTCATTCCTCACCACATAATTTCTTTGTGGTGGTGTCCCTGAAATTTAAAAAAAAACCTATCTTAAATTTAAAATGAAAAATATCTCATGCAATAAGTTGCTATTATTTAATGTCAGAAAAAGAGTGCTAAAATGTTACATCGAACCTGTTCTGCTGTTTGGCAGCCAGTCTTGGAATGTCAGTGAACAAATTAAGAAGAATTTGGAAGCAACAGAGATTTGATTTCTGAAATGAATGTTCAGAATACCTTGGACAGCCAGTGTAACTAACAGTGATTGTTTGAAAGAAGCTAATGTAAGTAGATCTCTATATACAACAATAGACAGGAGATAGACACTGTTCTTTGGCCAGTTAAATAAGACGAGAGGCATTGGAAAACATTGTGACAACTGGAAAGATCAGTGGGCTGAAACGATGGCATGGAGGGATATCATCAAGAGAGCTGTTCCAGGCAACCAGGAATCGTGATCTATGGAGATGCATGACTGCCTACGCCACTTGGCATGCCACAAGATGATGATAGTGATGATCTTAAATTTGTGATATGGAAAATGTCTCATTCTGTAGTATGAACGAATAAATAAAGAATTGAGATTATTGCGCTACAATGATTGCTGTTCCCTTCCTCTTCTGCCACTGAAGAGTTCCCATAGTGATAGTGCCACTTGCACCCTGATTGTAAGCTGTATCTTTTCCTTATGTGTTGAAAAGTTGACTTGAATCCATGACATTTAGATATGCAGGCCAGCGTCTTGCCGCTTCACCATAACAGCTTCCTGGTAATTAAATACTTGAATACCTGGCGTCATTTGCTTGATGCACCAGTAGCATGAAAAGCATCCTTGAATTTTACATTTGGAGATTCTTCATGAGGTGCAGATCACAGGGGTCTAATAGATAAAAGTTATGAGGGAGCTGCCATGATGTAGTGGCTAGACCCATGTGGATCCAAAGATCGTGGGCTCAAATATGGGCAGTGTTTGTTTTTAATTTTTTTTTTTTTTTAATGACCTTTTCTTGGTGTCCACTCAGCCTTAAATAGGTACTAGGTACAAAAATCATGGTAAGTAAAGGCAGACAGGTTGATGCTGACCACATCACTCACAGAGTGCTGCTTGGTCTTTAAAACTTAGGTCCACCCCTATATGCCCAATATATCTGAAGGCATGAAAAAGGGTTCTTTTTATGAGTTGTGAATTGGGTTATCTTGACAGCATGGACACATCCGTAAGTGCTCAGATTCTCTCTTCGTCAGGTACATCAGCATGGGGCAGTTAATAATGCCAGTCTTATGCTGGTTGACATGTACATCTGAAGCGCCTTTCTCTCATGCCGATCTTTATTCCAAATTCTCGCATTCTTAGCAGTGATGTAGACACCCTGCTCCCAAAATCTTTTGATTGTCTTATCTCTCTAGGGGCATTAACAATGTCAGCTTGATTCATGAGATGGCCATCTTCAATTAGGGAGAACTGGCCAGTTTATCAGCTCTTTAATTGCCAGCAACACCACACTTACATTCCCCGGGACAAAGATGAAGATACCTTCATGCACAGTAGGAGTTTTGCAATGATTTAATCCACTGTCTGCGTACAGAACCTGCCTTGACCTGCCAGAATTTGCTGATAGAATCACTCAGCACACACGTGTAGTTCTGTGATTCTAGCTACAAGGAAAGCTTGTGTCACCGCCATCACCTCCATCCTCATGCTGCTTGCAGTCATAGAGAATTCACTGCTGGCTTATTGGACTGTTCAGTCTGCAGAACACGCTGTGAATGCCCATGCACTCTTGTGACCTCAGACATTGTGTTGATCAGCACATCTGAATTGTCACTAATAAGCTTGTGGACTATGGCATTAACAGCGTGACGACACAGAACAATATGCTGTTAAACGTCTGAGGCACAGCATCATAATAAGCTTGTGGACTATGGCATTAACAGCGTGACGACACAGAACAATAAGCTGTTGAACGTCTGAGGCACAGCATCAATACCTTGCTAAGGTGGATGTCTGTTAGACTGCAGACCTGCTTGATATCATGCTTTGGTCTACCCAGCCCCTTTCTAGTCTGTTGTCTTTGAAGAGCATGTGATGCAAAGGGTGTTTCAGACCTAATCTTTGGGTGTGTGTGTGAGCCTTCCAAATCTTGATTCTGTGGATCTATAATAAATGAGAGAACTGATGTGATTTTGGGTGTGCGTACATTGTATGTATTGTGTTTCCAAGTCATATTTCCATGTTTTTGCATTTACAAGCTGGCATACTCATGTACTGTTGTGGTGGGGTTCAACTATTACACTTTTATCTTTAATTTATTACCCGTGTGTTTGTTAAATTGTTGCACCTTAAAAAAAAAAAAACCTGTTACATGTGTCTCTGTTTAATGGTTGCACATCTTTTGTCTGTTCAATTTGTTAGTTGTACGTTTGTCTGTTTAAATGTTACACACATCATTTTCCTCATGTGCCTTGCCAACTGGCATAGACAGTCACACCTGTCCACAACCAGCGATCTTCAACAGCATGTATCAGCTCATGTGCCTTGCCAACTGGCACAGACAGTCACACCTGTCCACAACCAGCGATCTTCAACAACATGTATCAGCTCATGTGCCTTGCCAACTGGCATAGACAGTCACACCTGTCCACAACCAGCGATCTTCAACAACATGTAACAGCTCAT